TATATATATATATATAGATATAGATATATATAGATATATATAGATATATATATAAATAAATAAATAAAGGACTCATCCGCATGGAAACCCCCGCAGTTTACATTTGAAATGTATGAAATGTTCAGCCTCATATCTGTATTATGAGTCATTGTTTAGCGCTCATTCATTTGAATGCAGAGAGTGAACTCACATGAACAAATGCGCAGTTGTGGCATGCTCCATTTGTTGTGCATGTCTTTAGAGGAAGTGCCATCTCAGCTCACATCAACTGTCTGTGATTTCTAGTGCTTCGTTTCCAAGCGTGCATTTACATGACAAAGTGCTTGCTAAAGACTTGAACCAGCATCACCACCACCCACTCTCAAAGCATGGCTAAACTGAGGCGCACAGTTAGTCTTAGATCTTTGAAACTTAACCGTTTTGCCATTTATACTACACTTTAAAATAAAGACAGGTTCTTTATTGGCATCTATGGTTTCATGAAGAAAATTATTTTTTTTAGTGTAAAAAGGTTCTTTAGAAAAACAAAAAAAAGTTATAAAAACTATTTAAAAATGGTTCCGAAAGGTTCTTCAGGGAACCAAAAATGGTTCTTCTGTGACATCACTGCGAAAACCCTCTTTTGGAAGCTTAATTTTTAAGCGTGCACAGTGATTGTTTGATTTTCTTTTTCATTGAATAAATTAATTTCTAAATTTATTTTTATGTATTGATTTATTTATTTTTTCACAAATGTGATTTTTTTTTTTCTTTCTTTTTTTTTTCTAGTTGCTTAATCATTGTTTTTACCAGTGAAAAATCCCTGGTCAAAACGCCTTTTTTGACTTTGGAATGTTCTAAGAAAGTTATTTTAATTTGTCTTTAGTGGATTCTTAAACATTCACTAAGGATCTTTGGCCACTCTATTGTGATTTGTGGTTGAAAATTAACTTGCAGGTTACTCGTAGAGCTGTAACAGGTACAGGTTAGACCGTAACCACACTTTTCATCAGTATAGTCAGCTCAAATGTATTTGTTTAGCACCTTTCACAATGCACATCATTTCAAAGCAGCTTTACAGAAACTCAAGATGCTAATGTTTATAAGATCTTCATGCCTTATAGTTGTCTTTAGCACATTTTGCAGTGATAAAAGCAATCAGGCAGTATACCATTTGCTATTAGACATTACTGTCATCCAAAAAGAAACTAAATGACTGATTGTTGAAGATTCTTACACTTTTATTAAAAGAAATCCTGTATGAATTGAGATTTGACAGTTGTTGGTGGAAACTTTGGTTACCAAGGAGACAACAGTGATCTGAGAAATGTATACGGTTTTATCAATATAGACCGTTTTAATCGCAGGAGTTGACCTAATTGATTCCCTTTCGGCAGTCCACCGGGATGATTAGACTATTGATTAGATGTTTTGATCTTGATCATGCTCTGTAACACACGTAATGAGTTGTGGCACACATTGAATGCAGTTTCACACTCTGAAGGTGTGTGAAAACGGGCCGCTTACGGTCTTTTCTGAAAGAAAGCTGTTGTCAGAGTCGATAGCATTGTGGGGTGTTTCTCCCACACTTTGCATTTTGTTCAAGTCTCTGCTTGTGGTCCTTTTCTTGATCCCATCCCGCTGCACTGTCAAAATAATGCTAAAGAAAGCCAATATGCATGCTTTGAACATGGACATTCAGAAGAAAACTGCATTGAAAAGAGCATTCAGCTATATCGTATTACACCACTGGTTTCTTTAACCGCTGTTTACTGACTCCATCAAGACTTCGAAAGTCTTTCGAAGGCAATAATGGCTCAAGAACTTGGGGCGAAAGGCAGAAAGAGGTTAGTACTCGGAGCTGGTGGAGAAAAAAATGGTATGGAGCCGTCTGCAATGAGGAACGATGCATCTGGAAAAATTCAGTTGATGCACTTCATGCATGTTGATAATTTTTTAATGCTTCTCATATTACGTCACAATGAACTGCAGCCATAGATCATTAGTTACAATCATTAGGATTGTGAGCTGACAAACGTGTGAGTGAGGATTTCTTGACCTAACTTGCCACATGTCTGTGAGTCCTGTCCTCGTACATGTGTTCACAGCAGCCTTTGACTGCGCTGAAGTAATTAACAGTTTCCCCAATGCACTTTGAATTTGTTTCACTCCTTAAAGTCACAAGTCTAGTCGATGAATGCATGGAGACTGATCTCTAGTTTGCTGAAGTTCCCACAAAAATGATCCGGATGCTCAAGTGCATTGTGTATCTTATTTCTGCCGTGCTAGAAAGTCTTTCTCGCGTTACTGCTTAAACTTGCATTCGTGATGCATGCAGGCAAGCTGCCGCTATTATGTGCGGTCAAACAAAAAATAATTCTAAAATGCGATTTTTATGGTTCACTCTCAGAAGAAAAGGTACAAACGCTGTCACTGGGGCGATGGCCTTTTCAAAAGATGCTAATATGTACCTTTAAGGAACCGATATGCAACATTTAGTGTTAAATAAGGTACAGATTTGTACCATTTAAAAAGGATACCACCCTAGTGACAGCTTTTGTACCTTTTTTCCGGAGTGTAGTTGCTAATACTAGTACATAGTATGTATGACTAACTACATTTTCTTTAATGCATTGTCTAAAATATTACTAAAATTACAGTTCTGGTTAATCAGTACACATTAGGAAGTATATTAGAGAGCAAATTGCAACCATGCAAACGAAAGCCAGAACTGTATGCATCAATCTTGTTGTGTATTCTGTAAATGACAGACCCAGAAAAGCTTTTACAATTATCACAAATACTTTTAAAGATTTGTTTATAGAGTTGTATGTACAAAATCTTGTTGAGTTTTATAACATGCTTGTTTTTATTATAGTGCATGCTGAATGTTTAATCTGCCGTGTAATAGCTGGTGAAACTGATATGTCGATACATTTTAATACAACAAGCAACCATTCTGAAAACGACAAAACATACTGAAATGTGAACATAACCTAAAGAAAGTGTACGAGTTCAGACTGTCTTATCCCTATTTTGTATGTATATTACAATTTAATGCTTTTGAAAATGTACAAAAATATAACAATATTTTGCCATTAGGTTTAAGCAGATGGCGTGAATAAAAATTTAATATTTACAAATTAAAGGATATGAGAATTAATTAGGGATGCACCGATACTGGTATCGGTATCGGGCCCGATACTGGTCTCCTGTACTCGTACTCATTAAAATGCCCCGATACCAAACGCCGATACCACACAGCATGTGATAAGCGCCATATTCAAACAAAGAAACACCAACAACAGACAGCAGAAAGGAGTTAAGGATGTCTACTACGAAGTATATGTATGCAATGAATATAATACTGGAAAAAGTGGTATCGGTGCATCCCTAGAATTAATCCATACTTATGTCAGGAATAGACATTATAGAGAATATCAGTAGCCAGAGTGCTTTGACCTCCACAAGGAGTCTATAAAGAAAAAAAAAAAGGAGGTCAAGAAAAGCCAAGTTGTAATGGTGTGTTTGTATGTGCCAGCGTTTTTATCCACGCAAGTTCAAGTCACTTTCTGCAGAAAAATGAATTCATAATATAGCTAAATAATCAAAGAGAGCATGAAAGCTTACTTTACATTTACCAATACATACTGTGAATGAAAATATACACCTACCAATAGCTTCTGCAAATCTTCACAAATCTTACTTTGCTTGTGCAAATACTTTTACAATCATGTAACTTTCATTAAAAAAAATTGTAAGAGTCTTTCTCTAGATGCCAAATCCTCAAGGAGCTGAAAAACACAGAGCTTTTTGAGTGACAATGATGAGAACTATTGATCATCTAACAACTTTTATTTTGTGAACAAAGGCAATTAAAATAGAGTTTTCAAAGACAGCTCTGTCAAAACCCTCTCGTCTTGATTATTAGACTGCTTTGTATTCCAAGAGGCAGAACAAATCTCTACAGGTCAGATTTCTTACAAAAATCGTACACAAAAAGAAAGCATGCTAGTGTCCGCCGTGTTCCTGTCGCTGTATTCAGCTGGTGAAGTGTGCTGGAATGCCACAGATTCCTCTGAAAACACAAACTGCTTGCATGGCCATCGTCACTCATCGATTCACTAATGAAGGCTAAAATGTTGGAGAGGAAAAAGTGCATGTTCCTGTAGAAGTGTTTCTCAGCAGATACTCTGTGTGAAAACAGATGGCAGAAATGCTCGCTGCACAGATGACTGTCAGACGATGAGTGTGCATGAATGTTTTTGTTCAGTGCTTTAATTCAAGATTCATTCAAGATTCAAGATTTTTTTATTTGTCACATACTCCGTTATATATATATATATGGTACATAACCAGTAGTGAAATGTAAGTTAGGTCCGCTCCATAGATTGTGCAAATTTAGACAAGTATAAGAGAAGACGTTGAGAAGAGTTGACGTGATTTTGGTGAAGCTGGAATTGAAAGTAATACGCTTATTTGGACTTTTTTGGAAAGACACAGAATGGAAATGTGAGACTCTGAATGGCACATGTATCTCTAAATGAAATTTGGATGGAACTTTTAATGAAAGTCATTTGTGCTCTAGATGGATGGATGCAGGGACTAAAATTAACACCTGCCAAGTGCCAAATGTGAGTAAAAATCAGCGTGGGTGAGTAAATGAAACCGTGTTACTCGCCAGTTGGCCGGTAGCTTTTAAAAATGAATTCTAACAATTCTTGAGATTATATGGTTTAGTGTTATTATATATGATGTGATATAAATATGTAATCTGATGCGCTGCACTGTGATCTTTTCACATGAGCCGTTCATGTGCAGTTTTTTTCAGTGTCTCGGTCGCAGTAAAGGCAATTCTACATAAACTCCATCTTGCTTATAATGTTCATTGAAAAATTTTTTTTTATAAAAATGCAACATGCACCAAATATCTTCCCAAAATTGTAATGAGAATGGTTTATAAATCTGTCGTCAAGAAGAGAAGCATTTCAAAAGAGAAGTTTCCCTGCAGTTTAACGTTTGGGGGAATTTTTTTATATATATATTATTATCATTATTATTATTTATTATTATTATTATTATTAATAATAATAATAATAATAATAATAATAATAATGATAATAAATAATTTTATATTATTATTTACTATTAGTATAAAAATAAAAATTATGAAATGTTTTATGGTTCAATAGTATTATAGTGATATTTCTTTGACTTAATTTTTATAATTTGATGAAATAATAATAATAAAGTATAAATTAAAATGATTTGTTATTAAATATTTTATAGTTCAGTAGTGTTATAGTGATATTTATTGATCTAATTTTTTATAATAATGTATTAATAATAACAATAATAATTATTGCAAAAAAGGTCTGCCTGTTTTTTTTTTTTTTTTTTTTTTTAATGAAATAATGCACATAGTTTCATGGC